TTTTTTTTTTTTCTCTGACATGGAAAGGCATCTGCCAATTAGTCTGAAACTTTCAGGGGTCCCCTGCTGTTATTTCTCAGGCATGAACACCTTGTTAAAATCTATTCAAAGTCATCGCTCCATGTTGAGCTGCTGTAATAGTGAATTGCTCTTCCCACTGGGACTTGCTTGATTTGAGCGATGACAGCACAGCACAGCTCCCTGCCAGTGTAGCCAGTATACCCAGTATACCAGTGACTTGTGGTTATAAGCACGAGGGAACAGTGCAGTGGCTGCCAGCAAGATGCAATTCGGCACATCGCACTATTCATGCTTATGTTGTTTTTTAAAATCCTTCTGTCAGCCCSGGGGATGTACACAGACATTTCATGAATAGTAACATGTGTAAACCACCAAAGTGATYATTAGGCAGTGCGCATTCATGTGACTGCTATAAAGCTTTTAATGCAGAGGGGTGGGACTAAATGACCTTTTAAAGGTCTCYTCTTACTCAAACTGTTCAATGATTCTGTAGTGTTAGGTGCACATATTTGTAACATTTGAATAGTAGAAAATATATTCTCTGCATTTTAATAGCTTATTAGCTATTAAAATTCTCTAGTATTTTATATAGTGTATTTTATATACTATGGGTATATTTGTTCTGTTTTCCATAGACGTGGGTAAACATACTGCATGAGTGTTCCTCTGTTTCATGAAGGAAAGAGCAAATATAAAGAAATTCCTCTTTCATTTGTGTAGATAAATCAGTGTTTTAACATTAGTGGGTGAAAGGGAATAAGGCTAAAAGTATTTTTTTCCCCTTACATTAGATTTCAGTTAGCACAAGCACTATTGCGTGTGATCCCTTAATTTATGTGTGTGGCAAACTCAAAGGTGAGATGACCCAGATCTGATTGCAATCTTGTATCAGTGTAAAGCAGATGGACAGCGGCAGCTCCCCAGACAGCCGCAATGCTCTTGTCGGTGGAAGTCAGCCTGAGATCAGAATCTGAAACATTTACATATTCTAGATAAGAAGGTGAAACTTTATATTTCWTGTTGCTAGTTTTGAAGGAACTGTAAAAGAAACCACGTCTCAGCTGGGGTTCTGYTTGTTCTGTTTTCTACTCTCTTGTGCTGGGAAGTACAAGGGAAAACTAAGCTAAGACATTATTGTGAAATACGAGGCTATCTGGTACCTAGRAACAGGAAAAGGAACTTATTCTGCACAGTCCATCGATTACTAGTGGGACATACAGCTGGATCTCTGCAATAAATTACTGCAGGGCACCTCAAGTCCTCTTGGAGCCGGCAAAAGGGGGTTTTTGAGCTGAGCTGGCACCAGAATTTTTTTTTTTTTGCAAAGTTCTCTGTGTTCTGGATAGACAATAAGTATATTAGTGCGATGAAATGGTATCCTTTTTGCTTTTTCAGGACTCTGTACTAGAGCACTTGCAGAAATTTCTGCCACACAGGCAGTTTTTCAGCTGTTGCTGAATAAAAATAGCTTAAAATTACCAAGAAGTGGCTTCTGGATATGAAYATGAATTTAATAAATCTTTTTATTTAAGGTTGAATTAAAACAGAACCAAGAGAAAAGCATCCAAGGTCTTTGTTAAAATAAACAAAYAACAAACAAAACCACACACAAAAAAAGTGTGTTTGGAATGTTAGGCTTTTTAAAAAGAAAACAAATTCTTTGCTTGGCTCTGGTGGATATCCTCAATCTAAAGTCTAGAAGTATTAGATTTTTGTTGCCAAACAGAAGGTGCCTTCTGAATGYGGATGAGGAATTGGATGAATCAATTAGCCAGAATAAATAATAAAACGTTGCTTGGAGGCATAAGGCAAGGCTTCAGTCCAGCAGCACTTTAAAGTTAAGCAAACTTTTAAAGGAAGCTAAGCTGATACAAAARTCCTGCAACTGATCTTAGACATAARCACCAGATTATAATTCTTGCATGGTTGCAAGCAAATAACAAACTCTAGTCTTCTATTTCCCATACATGAATACAATGAGATAGTGTTTCTTACTTTCAGAAGAGAATTGAACATTGTTTCTCAAAAATGTTTCATGTGTCATTTATTCCTATTGTATGGGGTTTTTGGGGTGGTGGGTGGGGGTTAAGCTATGTTGTTTGTAAGCATCTTTATGGAATTGTTTTCATGGCACTAGAGAAACAAAGGTCTTCGCTTGAGTCTCAAATTGGAATTCTTGCACATTTGAGCAACTTTAATCTGTCATTCAGTTTAATGGAAAATTTGCATGGAAAATTYTAGTTGTGTGGTTGTTTTTTTGGKTTTTTTTTGTAATATAAGTTGTTTCTATATTTACCTCCTGGCATTCCATTAYTGTGGATCTTATTAATGTTGTGTCATGTGAATTTTTCAAATTTCAAAATAAAACATGTCTTTTTTTATTGGAAATGATTAGGGTTTGATTTTGTATTGATGGACTGCATTCAATCTTCCAAATGTGGGAATACATGTTTGTAAAATATTACTGAGCAAACTATTGCAATCTATCTGTCTCCTTCTGACTTAGATCCTCCAGTTTTACCAGAGGTAATAAAAATATTGTGCTGAAGGAATTTGAGCTTGTTGAGACCTCCTCCCATTTCTAGGTTTGGGGTTGATTTTTTGAGGCAGAAACTCTCTCAGTGAAGGAATGCAGAGCAAGAGCCTGGGTCCAGATGTTGTGTTTTCCTCTCATACCAGCCCAGGCCTCTGAGACAGAGATCCCCCTCTCTGAAAAYGAGCCTTGGACAAAGTGCAAACTCCTCATTTCCTGAAATCTCATTGTTTAGGCCAACAAACAGGCAGGTCAATGTGCAGGTTGCARAACTGAAACTGAACACCACCTCAGTTTCCCTGGATCAATGAAGTGTAATTTGAGGCTCTTGGTTGCCTGTCCAGCTTGGAGAACCAGCACAGACAACAAAGGCTCAACATTGGGGCCTTCAGATATTTGAGCAGCTAAATAGTGTTGCTGCTGCTCTCTTCTGCTGACTTTTGGCTCAGGGCTGRGCTGTTTAGGTAGGCTAGGCATTAATTTTTTGTGATGGTTATGCCAGCAAATTTGCCTAGAACAGAGGTGAATATAGAGGCCTTTATACTGGCCCTAGGTAGATTAGTTGAAGAAGAAAAACAAAACAACAAAACAAAACCCCAAACCAGGAAAGAAAAAATTATGTGAGTTCTGTAGACGTTCACATAGACTGTTTCTTACAACAAAGCTCCTTGGTCTGACTCTGTCAGTTTCTCTGTAAAATTAAGTCAGCAAAGAGTCCTCAGTGAACAATAAAAGAAAATCTTGGCTCAAGTCTGGCACTAGATGCAGATGAAAGAGCAGTAGATGTAACTGGCTGTGATGCCTAGTGGTGTTATGGCAAGTTGTATGAAAGGTTAGAGCCCACAGCTTCTGCCCTCAGTGGGAGATGGTGTATAAAAAGGTGGGCTGTCGTGAATGGAATGTTTTTGCAGTGTGGCTGCTGCYTTTTGGACAGGGAGCTTTTTTTGGTCAGCAGAAACTCAGGCTCATAGTGCTTTGTTCAGCTGCAGTTCAGGGTGTTAATTTATAATTAGGCTTCAGTGAGTGTTCACTGGCATGTAATCAGATCCGTACTTTTAGGGAGGTTTTTTTTGCATGTTTTTGCTGAAGAGTTCATTAGATGTTGATGTGGGTTGAATGCATCTCTGCCCAGTCATGCACCTCTCCCTAAAGCACCTAATTCAATTGATTTGGGGTGTTTAGTGACAAGAAATACACTGTCAGCAGGACCATAATTATTTAATCTATTTAACCACAGCATGAGTGTTWTGAGTAGTGCATGGAAGTAGATAAAAACTCTAATATCTACATGTCTSAGCAGGAACACTGGCAGGGATAGAGATACTTTTAATTATTATGTATATGCAATATGTACAATTGTTGCTTGATATATGCCATACCATGAAAATAGTTAAAATTTTATCTGTCAGTTTTCTCAAATGTGACTGAACTTTAATACTTATGTTAAATGTACAATATCATACATAATTCTTCTCTGTTGCAGATTTTACCATCTTAAACTGTGAGACAAGAATATTTCTTGAAAAGTAAGAGTTCTACAGGTAAGAACTGAGTTAAGTAATTTTCTTTTTGTTAAGACCATTGTTGATAAGCACCATCATAAAGTAAACACAGAAGTGTTCACTCCAAAGTGAACTACACTTTGAAAAGCTGGAGAAAAGTCACTTGAGATGCTCATGATGACACAAGGTGTGGTAAGCAGGACATTTGAGAAAGACAGATGTCTTTCTCAAGTTGGAATGTTGTTATTATTTTGAATGCATAGTACCTAGGATGTCTGTCAAGACGGGATTTGTAAAGAATTGTTTTCTAACAGAAAAATGGGAGCCAGYTGAGAAAGTGGCTGGAGGAAATGGGCACACTGACACCAGGTGTTGGCAGCAYGACTCTGATGCAGGCTGCTTGTCATTGTCCGTCTCATGTTTTCAGATAAGCATTGGGAGACCTAAATTTCGTGTTCAGGAAATGTCCCTAGTCCCCTTGGGGTTATTGCTAAATAATGGCATGCCCAGCAAGTTAAGTTGTCATTCTTTGACTGATRTCTCCCTTGGGGTAAACAAGAAGTAGATCTGCAGGGCAAAAAATCAGCAGCTCTTTGTTTAAACGATCTGTTAAAACTCCTGCCTTGTGCTTAAGAAAAAAGGATTTGAGTCTTTTCAGGAGGATTGTTGAAAGATTAAATAATTACTCTGTTCATAATGGGAAAACTCCCACTTTGCTGGAGATGGTGTTGTAAAGCCTTATAGTCAGAGCTAACACAAAATCAAAATGTGAGCAGTTTTACCTTATCACATCATGGGGTGGGGGCTGTGCATTTTTTTGCTGCTAATGAAGACTGGTAAAATGCAGGTAAGCAGTTCATTTGGCAACAAGTAAAGGACAGAGGAATACACAAATTTGAGAGATGCTTACAAAATATATGAAGATGCCCTCCAAGTTAYGAACTGTCAATTCAGGCCGCTGAAAACTTTGTGAACTCTACAGAGCCCTTGCCATCCTTCCATCTTCTTCCTTTTGTAAACATCTATTTCATCTTAGAGCTTATAAACACAATACAGGAAGTTGTTGAAATTGGAGAATTAAACATTTTTCCATATGTAGATAGCACTTCCTGACTGCATCATATTCTGTTACCTTGCCTCACTATCATAAAGAGCCTGAAACTGAGAAATTGTTTGGAAGTTCCTTTGGGTTTACATTCTTGGAACTTTTCCTAGAGCAATTTCACKAGTTAATTTGCATTTGGTGTTAGAAAATTTATAAGACTCTGGTGTTTTGTTACTTATACCTAGATTTTGAGAGGAAAAAGAATGAATGTCTCTTAAGTTTAAAATAGAGTTGTAGCTTTTTCTTATAAAAGGGATGTGCTAACATTGAAATGCCAGTAAATTGAATGGAGTTATTGAAAAAATAAAAAGCTATGCCATCTTCCAAACATTATAAACTAAACAAATGAATTAAGTATAATCTTTTCTATGTTGATCTTTATTTATATAGAAACATGATATATAAGAACTTTTAAGMCAGTTAAAATGCTATTAATTTTCTGTGTTCCATCCCAAGTGTTTGTCTTCCCACACTTGTAGAAAATTAGTCTTTTTATTATTAGCAGTTCAAACATGTTTTAAGCTGAGTTTAGAAATATTTCCTCCAACAAAGAACTATTTCTAATGCTGTTTTCTTAAAACATTGTAAGGTTAGTAATCTATTTACCATGTTTAACTACCTGATAGCAAATGCTGTTCCTGCTTCTACTAGTATCCTAGTTAATTGTTTATCTACTTGAATCTGAAATGAATACAAAGATAATATTAGAAGCTATGTAGTTGTGTGAATGTATACATAATTTTGGCTATACATCTGYATGAATGTAAATGGCTTAATGGCTTCACACGAAAGACCTTTTGAACAGGTTTTGGTTTACTCTGCACTTAAAATGCTACCCTTGAGGAAGAAGATAACCTTATATTGTGCTCCTAGTCAGTTCAATCATTTTTTGAAAAAAAAAAAAATTGCCTTAGCAAATTGAACACAGAAAAACCCATGAGTAGGTCCATGCTTTCTCCATGTAATTCCTGTATGATTCCTTGTTTTGGCATTGTACTTGTGTAATATAAAACATTTGAGCTGGCATGCACTGTATTATAGCATCTGTCTGTACAATGCTACAGAAGACTGTCCACCCTTTCAGCAGTGATTTCTTAACCCTTGCCCAATTCAAATTGAGCTTTGAAGTTTTAGTGACTATGTACATTCTGAATGCCCTTCCTTATATGATGGTTGAAGTATCTCCAGTGGCTTGTACTTGTTGTTTCTGCCACTGCTTTAGCAATATAAGAATTTTCTTTAATTTGAATGCTGTATAGAAATATTTCATTTGTATCCCTTCACTACCATTTAATATTGGGAAAAAAATTAATAATAAATGATAGGTAAAAAGTAATAATAATTCTGGTGCTTCATGCATTGTGCATCTGAAGAACCCATTTGAGCTTGGTTTTGCTTTGAGAAGGACTGTTACTTAGTTATTGTTATTCCATTGATATTTCTTCCATGGAAATAATATTAATGTTAATAATAATAATAATACCACCAAACTTGATAACTTACTCTGAAATAATTTTTTTTCTTACTATTTCACAAGGAACCAATGTACCTGAGAAAAGGATAATGCATTATTCAGAAAATTGGTGCTCTATGYCCTGGACTTGAAACCACTCAGATTATGGAGCTGACTCTTACTTGGGCCCATAGTGAGTTTTCTTAGGGAGCACWACTGCCTGAAATATGTTTTTTGGGGGGACTAGGGAGATAGAAGACAGAGTGATTTAGCTTTGCAAATTGGTGCCATAGACAGGGTCATGAGAAAGGCAGTAATAGTCCAAGGGAAATGGAAAAGGAGGGTGACGGTGGGATGGAGGAGAGAAGAGAAGAATAATCCCTTCACCAGCAAGCTACTGTCCTCTGGTCTCAGGCCCTCATAAAACTTCTTTGCAACTTGGTGAGGAATTYTCCAGTCTGATGGGCATGGCAGAATAAAAGGGCGAGTGTCTTACTGGTCAGAGGCCCTGTGAAACATCTCTATCCCGAGCTCCTAAGGAAAGTATGCCCCAAGCCTTCTTCCAGCTCAGATCTCTTTTAAGACTTCTGTTCTTCCTCCTTCTGAATCCTTTTGGCAGATTCAATTTACGTCATGCTCTGGGGATTTGATTAATTTCCTTTTATTGTCTGAGTCTTGCAAACTCCTGTGCTCAAGGTTGGCAARTGTGCTGTTAAATCTTGGTATAGATGAGTTCTGCTCCTGCACATTCAACCTATGGCATCTTTACTGTCTGGGACCATAYACCCAAACTGTGTTTGTTTGATGGACAAGTGTCACCAGAATGTGAAATCCATCCTGTTAGCAGAGTGAATTAATTTACTCAGTATAGCACTTTTAGGCAGTTTTGACCATATGCCTGAGAATCCTAATTTAAATTAAATTTGTTCAAAATGGAAGTCTAAATTCAAACTGACATCATAACATATGACCTCCACTGGCAATGAAAATTGAAAACACGAGACAAGGACATTAATCACTGAATAGTTTATACACTGAATGTCCATCTGAAATGTTAACACTATTTTATTATACCAAATAACGGCTTAAAGTGAAAGTTTATGAACACTGTGGGGTGCCAAAGATAAGACATTCAGACTCATTTTATCATACCCTGGCTCAAATCTTTTGAGCCTTTAGTGAAATGCACAGAGCTAAACCTATTGTTTTTAGTGCATGCATAACCTATTTCTTTTACAGGGACTGGAAATGTGAGCAGGATAGTGGGGATCAGATTTGGCAGCTAGACTTGTGTGGACTCAAATTTGGTCATACGTGTTCATGTGCAGGAGGAAGTGTTTAATGGCCTCAGCGTGGAACTGTCTGTGAAGTTTGGGTCATTGTTTTCTGGGGTTTTTAATTCTGTTTAGCAATTTGAATTTTGGATTTGGGTTCTGATTTTAATTTTTAATAATTTTTTTTTTAGAGAAAGCTTTAGTCATAATGTTGAATGTCGCTGAATATGGAGTATACTGAGAGCATTCTTACATAAAACTTACCAGGGCTATCATCAAACAAATCTCTTCAGGTGACCAGATGGAATTACCACTTTAAACAAATTCGTAGTTTCATTAATWTTTTGAGTCTTGATGTATTTTCATTGATTTGGGTTTCTTCCCCCSTCTTTTATAATTAGGAAGTACAAAATCTATTTGATGGTTTGAAAAGAAAAATATTTAATAATCTCTTTTTAACTTTAACTTAATCTCAAAATTATAATGCTTCATCTGTAATATATTCCCTTTATATGTGAACTTATCAGTGTAACCCAGAATATTGAAAATTTGATGTCATATATAGTTGACTTAGTGTAGTCTGGAATAAAAAACAGAAGGTAAGTTGGATCATTAGTTTCCAAACTGTTCAGTCTTTTGCTGGGAGAGCTTTTTTTGTTCCTATGTAGCTTGAGCCAGTGATTCAAAAATAGAYTTAAATGCTTTTATAGGTGAAAGTGAGTTTAATTGACAGCGAGCTGGTTGTAGCTTTTGTATTTTGCTTTATTGGGTAGTTTMAGTAGTAAACCAAATTTATTGAAGTAAATCTATGAAATTACCTTAATTGCCTGATCTCAATAATATTTTTAAGTAACTCCACTATTTGCCTGTTTTTATTTTAATGTTAGGTACATACTGCAGCTTGTATATGCATATTGTTTGAAGGTTTTGAATGGCTTGCCTGTCTGATCCATTTTAATAGATTCCAGCCTTTTTCCATGACATCATTATTGTAACAGACTTCCTAGAAAATCTGAACAGCTGCTGTGTATTTTTTTCCTGTGTTTGATATTAAAACTGTAGCAGCTATTCTGTTCTTTACAAATGACAGCAATAGGCTTGTCTGATGTAAAACAAAATGAAAAAAAGTCAAAGTAAGGAGCTGTGATGCTGTTAACAGGCCAGTAATGTAACAGGTCCCCATGTATGAATCATTTCATAATGCAAT